ATGGATGAGAAAAAAACACATTTCTTTCCCAAAAACCCCCCCCCCCCCCCCCCCCCCCCAAAAAAAAAATAAGTCTACCACATGTAAACTTCTGGGAGACTGTTTTTAGATTTGCAATATTCAATTCAATGCAGTAAATCCTTCCAGTGAAGAGATTTATTGCAACGTTTGGTTTCCTACAAGAGGCTTGAAGAGGGAGGTAACATCTCCCTTTCTTAATGAGGTCAGTATTGTAGGGATGATCTGGAAAATGTTTAGGTGGACTCTTCGTACAAAGAAGTTGTACAGTTACTGCAGTTCCTAGATGCCTCCCAAATGTCTTTCCCATCTAGCTTTCATAAAATATTATGAACAGCCATGACAGCATCACTAAAAATCATGTGTAGACTTCCACCTAAATATAACCTCCTACATCTACTGTAATGCCTTGCGAAGTTGGATCCACCTGTGCGACAGCTTTGTTCTTGATGAGATGTGTGATTTGGATGAGGCTGTGAATCAGAAGTGAAGTGTCAGTTAATGTAAAGCATGACTTTCTCCACATGTTTAAAACTCTGAGGACCTTTCTGATACCAAATTACTCAAGTGTATTTGCTCTCTGGTTCCACAGCCATCTCCTTTGCACTTTGACATTTAACCAGAAGAGCTGCCCACTTTTAATTTCATTTCAGAGAACATGTAGAAATAAGATTCCTGCATTATAGTTTCCTATATGCAGAATAACAATTTGTATCTGTAAATGTGTTTATAGAGAATGTTACGTAGCTAAGGTTGAGTTTTTAGTCAGAATGGTAAGTTAACTGCTTACGTGTTGTGTTTGGTTACATATTGGAAGTGCAAGGGAATTTGGTGTGGTGCTTTAAGAGTTCACAACATAACTAATGCAGGTGTCAAGGAACTTGTGATGCCAAGATGAATTTTCTGCTGTGAAGTTTCAGTTTACCAGATGTGCTGTTTACTTACTCTAAGATTGGGGAACACCTCCCTAGTAGTTTTGCAAATTACCTTTCTTAGGAAATTTCCACACAGTTACAGGCTTTTGTATTAGTGAATTTCTGCCACTTCAAGTTTTAAAGAAATTATTCTAATTTTGCTGTGTGTGGAAACATCCTTTGCTTGAGTGGCTACAGAATTGCAATTAGAATATCAGGAAGATGTAGAGGGAGCTAGTTCCCTCAGTAAAATGCATTTCTGTCCAGAGCTCAAGCCATACATAAAAACAGTATATCTAATGCCATCCTTTCTGGTGGGATCTAACATGAATAAAGCTTGTGCTGGTTCTCTGCAAGTAAACTGTCATCCTGTGAGATCAGATGAATTTGCCCACCTGTAAGTGTTGTTTCTCTTCAACAAACTCAGCCCACAATTATCTTTGCTTCAATTTTGTTGTTTGCTTCTGCCTGAGATGCATTACTGTTTATATCCTAACTCTGTAATTAATTCTTTCTTCAATTATTCTAATGTATTTTGTTCCACAGTATACTTATTCTGAATTTAGTCTTGCTATGCTAAATAATTTATTTATTACTTGCAGTGTTACATAAAATATCCTCCTGATTGCACCTTGTCAGAGTGGAATTGTTTTCTTGGCTACTACCAAAAGTTAGGTGTCTGTCCACTGTATTAGAAATATGATTTCATTTTAAAAGGAATTTGTTGTTAAGACACTTCAGTAATTCAGTATATCAGAACAAATGCTCTAAAAAAAAACTATGCATTTTCATTTTATTGATACTCACATTTCAGATAAATAAGTGGAAAAAAAGAAGCTTGAAAACCTGGTTCATCTGTAGAGTTCTCTGGTCTCTTCCATGTTTCACCTTAGAAGGAACCGCACAAAACAAAATCTAATTCTGACACAATATAATTCCATAATCCCTCTATTACTTACAAAAGATTCACAAGGCTTATTTCATTATGACTCATAAGGGTAGCAGAGACTAATTTAAAAAATCTCTCTTTCCTGTAAAGAATGAATTCTTTAATTCCTGATTAGACTATTAAGGGACCTAAGCTGATTAATTCCCAACACACAGACACGTGTATATTTACATTTGCATTCATATTTTACACTCCCCTATTCACTTTAGACTTTGACAAAGTATTTCAACTAAAAAAAGGGCATTATTGCTGATTACTGAGATCCTTTGTTTTCTAATATTTGTACCACTTTTTCATACTGAGTTCTAATTTGAGGACTGATTTTCACGTTGTTCTAGAAAAAAAATACACAAGTCTGTTTATATGCAGAAAAGAAAATTGCTTTGCTAGATACGTAAATGTTTTATTAAAAATAATTATTTTTAAAGCATTATAATTATCACCTGCAATTTAAAATCAGTAGGGATCACAAAAACAAGGAGACTTTGAGTGATATTTATATTAAATACAAATGAAGGTAGACTAAGCCTAATTCTGCCCTTTTTTCTCTAACAGTCCTCTATACAAAAAGCACATTGGTAGCAGGGAAGGGCTTGTGCATCTTACCTGACTATTGCTAAGGTCTGGGATGACACACATTCACACTGGAAGTAACTGGATGAACACACAAATAGCTGTAAAAGTTAAGCCATAATATAAGAAAATTCCCAATTTTTATTATTTTTTGTAGTAATTTGTTATTCCATTGGATGATGAAAAGGAGCACTGAGCAGCTGAACTGCTGTGATGGAGTATTTGACACTTCTAAGTGTTTTAAGTAGCATTGTTTAACCACAGTTAGCAATCAAGAACTACCCAGCCACTCACTCCCCTCTGTGGGATGGGGGAGACAATCAGAAGAGTAAAAATGAGAAAACTGTAGATTCAGATAAAGACAGTTGAATAAACAGAAAAGGAAGAAAATTATGATTATCATAATAATAATAGAGAATATACAAAACAATTGAGTCACAATACTGTTGCTTGACACTTGCTGACTGATTTCTAGGCAATCCGTGAGCATGAACTCCAGCCCACTTTCTCACAGGCCTCAGCATGAGGCCATAAGGTCTGGAAATATCCTTTTGGCTGGTTTACATGTCCCATCTCAACTTCTTGTGCCACTCAGCTCTCTTCCTGGCAGGGCAGGAGAAACTTACTCTAGCAACAAAAACAGTGCATTTTCAACATTCTCATACTAAATTCATAACACAGTACTATACTACTTACTAGGAAAAAAATTAACTATCCCAGCCAAAACCAGAACATAAATAACTTGGACTTGTTGGAAGTGAAAATCTAGTTGAAGTGAAAGCTATGAATTCAGAGCAAATACTGTATTACTGTATGACACAGAGATGACTGATGGCTTCTATTGATCTTGGAAGCTGGCTGCACAGAGCTGAGTTTACACAGCTGTCAGCTGCTTTACAAAGCTAAAACAGAAGGATAAAGAATGGGTGTAAAACTGAGCTCCGTACTTAAGAGATAGTCTTTGCAATCAGAAGGAATGAGAGATGGTTAGAAATCCGTGTTTTTCCACTTTGCAAGTTCCACTGTGGCCAACTAATAGGGATTTGGATAGAATTTTGGCAATGTGGTGCCCAGCATTCTCCTCAGGATCTTAGTGAAACACTGTATATATTGTTTGCTGTACTTCCTACATTAACTCATGCAAGTCAAGGTTTGGGTGTAGGTGACATAATCCAAAGGGCTTTTAGATCCAACAACCATACAAGTCAGGCTGGTTGTTTCAAGGCCACTTGTCAGCTGCTCTGACACAGATTGAAACATTTAAGCCTCAAGTGGCTTTAGAACATCCCACGCTCCATAAATAAGCTATTGACATTTAGAGTCCTCTGCCACTGAGATGAAGAGAAGTGGTGCTTCTGCTGATTCCTACAGAATGCTGTGTTCATGTTCTCTGTATGGGCATGAGGTAGTGCCTCTTCTGATAAAACTTACATAGCAGACAGGATTCTGTATTGTTAAAACCGAAAGGCAGTCTATGGATTTAAAATCACAGAATGGCTTGAGTAGGAAAGGGACCTTAGAAATCATCCAGTTCTGGGCTGAAACTTTGCCATAGGTAGGGACATCCCTTGCTTTGGGAAAATGATGCATACAGTCTTGTAAAAGTGGCAATTAGTGGTTAATTTTGCATGTTGAAGTCTCATGGTAAGTAAATACCAGCAAAATGAAACTAAACTAAAGACAGCATCATTTTCTCTCTATGCTGTTGAAAATTTAGTGTTGGACAGACCTGTCTGTTACTTCCCAGTTGAGTCATAATTCATGAAGTATTTTTCACAATGCAAGTTTTGTGGGTTTTTTTCCCAGCCCTTATATTTCACTTAAAATATCCTCCTGGAATTCTAATATACAAAAACTGAAGCAAGTCCTTCCCATGTTGGTCCCTTCCCTTCAGTGACCATTGAACAAATCAAGATTTCCCTCTACATCCCTGTTCTGTCTTTTATCTGCAGTCCACTACAGAGCTGTTCCACCAATGCAGGTGAAAATCTGCCTTCTCCTTGTGAAAAACAACTGCTCACTTTGAAAATTTAAAAAGGTTTATTAAACCTCAACAAAAATACAACAAAGGACTACATAAGGAAAAAGCTGCAGTGCTGGGAACTGCCCCCCAGAGATACCATGTGGATGGTTCACCTTCAAGATGGACGCTCAGTCTTTTATACCCCTGGGGGGTTGCATCAGCCAGCCCTGGCCCCTCCCAAAGTCCATCAGTCAGTTCTTCTTTGCCATTTATTGGTGGAGACTGCTTTCTTCTAACCTGATTGGAGATCAGGTGTTGCCATGCCACATCCCCCAAGCACCAAGCTTTTCCATTCCCAGCTGCCCCATGCAAGGGACACAAGTGCACACCTTCTTTCTACCTGTCCTAGAGAACCCAGGCTGCCTGATGGCAACAATACGGGGTTGGGGGTGAGGCAGGGCAGGAAAGGGAACTATGGGAAGAACAAAGGGCATCTAAACTACAATAACATAACTATACATCACTAAAGCTTTTCTTAATATTCACACAATAGTTATCCCTTTATTGCGAGAGCAAATCATCTCATTATCCATCTCTAACATGCTGAATAAATTCACTAGTGCTATTATTATATAGGTATTATATAGGTATAGACTATGGAGTGTAGCCTCAAGTGAGAAGAAACTGAACATGGATGCAATGTCTGAATAAGAAGGTGTATGTGACACTTCCAGTAAAACACTGTGTCACATACAAACTGTGTCACCTCAAATCATCTCCATTTTCTTGAGTTCCCACTTCCAGTTAGGGCATCTGCATTGACGCCAGATGAATTGCAGCAATCTATCACAACCACTTTGAATTGCTATTTCATATTTGTAGAGGGCTCTTGTTGCTGGGTTGTTTTGTTTGGGAAGGGTTTCCTTTGAGGTTTGAGGGTTTTTTGGGTTTTTTGGGGGGTTTTTTGTTTGTTTGGGGGTTTTTTTTTGTTTGTTTGTTGTTTGGGGGGGGGATTTTTTGTTATTTTTCTTCCTGTTATGGATAAGGGGGTAATTCGTGCTGCAAATGTAATATTAATGTAATATAAAATGAAGCTTTAAGCTCATGCCAGCCGAGGGGAGAGGTGATTGTCACACAGGACAATCACAGCGGAGGAGGAGGTGCATCATTACCACACCAAGTAAACCTAGCCTGCACAGGAGATGGGCACTCCCGATGGCATGAACGAGAGAACGCCCAGCGATGATGGCCCATGTAGATGTCCACCTCAGACAGACAGGACCACCAAGGACATACATCTGAATGAAGGGCTCCGGGAACTGGGGACAGATACACTTCAATTCCCGGACGAGGCTTTGTCCAGCACAGGACAGAGAATAGACACAGCATGAATATGGAGGACTCCAGGAGGGGACAAAGGGACTCTGCCGGGGGCAAGAAAAAGAATATAAAAATGGAACTCTGCCAGGCCTCGGTGGTGAACAGGGGGATTTGGTGTGATAGAGGCTGGATCATCATTCACCCACTCCAGTCCCGGGGTTGGTGCTGCTTTTTGATTGTTGGCGGTCAGGACTGTATATCAGTCATGAATAAATTTAATTTTTATTTTTTATTTAATTGGCTGGATCAATTTTTACCTATAACATTCCCCAAACACAGTAAAACAGTAAAACCAGAGTCTCAGGACACCTGACTTGCTGGTGACAGTGTATACAGAGACAGAATTGTCTGCTTTAGGGTTTTATAGGGTAATTTTCATTCCCTGCCCCTTCCCTTCCACTGCAGTGGCTACAGACACAGGAATAACTTCAGCAAGTTATACACAGCTTTCTGAGACCAGTATCCCTGCTACTGCTCTCCAAAGGCATTATCTGTGTTCTTGATGTTTTGCTGCAGATGCGTACAAGTCCTATCCTCACCAGTAATTGTACTTTCTCTTCATACTGCTTTAAATTGCTTAAAACCTGTGAGGTGTTGAGTGCTCCATTCAATTTCTGAGTCCAGGACCAGCAGATACTTGGGAAATGCATGCAGCTACAGTGTGCCTGAGCTGGAATGCTTTGTGACCTAATTCTGTCTCTGAATTCCTCAGGCTGGAAATATGCAGAATTCAACTTTGAAATGTATTTCTTATGGCACTAGAACAAATGCAGTGATTGGATGCCATATACTCAGTGAAGTCATTCCACAGTGATGATGGGGATTAAGCTGACATGTCTCTACTCCCTGCTTCATTTCAGGCATCCTGATTTCAAGATATTGTGAATTCTAGCACCTGTAAAGGAAATGGGTAAGTAATAAGAAGATCTGCAGGAAAAAAATCCCATGCTTCCCCTGTGTGGTCAGTTATGTTCACCATGTGACCCAGTCTGTGATTCCACAATCTCCATTTCTGACAAATTTTAAATTCTTTTTTCCATCTGAAAAAGATGGGGAAAATAATTTTTGTCTTTGTACCCTTTCTATTGCACAAATGCTGACACACGCTATGTATCTTTCACAACACTAAATTTAAATATTGTTTTCCAAGATAAGCCATTAATATGTTGGTGTTTAAAAGCTACGTGAACTTGAAGAAAAAAAAATAACATGCAACTGTCAAATAATACAACAATAATACATTAAAATACACAAAACCTTTCTCAGTGCCTTCTATTAGGTGGGCTGACTGAGGGCAATCTTAATATGTAATGATGGTACTCATAAACTGCAGCTGTGTTCACTGCCTTTAACATACTATCAGAGCACTGTTTCTCAAGGAGATGCACCAGAGGAAATTTCACCATGGAGATTGCTTTACAATCTAACTGAGGGACTAAAACCACTATAGAAATCTAAGGGAATAGTATGGAGTAAATTTTAGTATTTTTTTCATTAAGTTTTAGCCTATTTTTCAATTTTAAAAAATGAAGCTGTGGCAATTCCAAATAAATATTTCTTAGCCTTACTTCCTAAAATATTAGATTTGATTGTTCTTCAATTCAAACCTTGCTAGAGCACTGTCCTGCAGAGAGAGATTTATGTTTATACCCTTTTGGTGGGTTCAGACCTCTGTATCCCAGAAGAAAAGGGCAATTCATATTGTTTAAGCCAAATGGGAGTAACAAGGTGTAGGATAACCACATTTCATACAATAGTCAGATCATTAATGTGCCCTGCACACTTCATACCTGCACAGAGACAATGACTATATTGTACCTCGTTTGTCCACATTCACCCTGTGCACACACTATGTACTAACACCCCTCTCCTCCCTGACAGCCCACATCTGTCTTGTTAAAAGCAGACAGAAGAACTGCAGCTGACAGAAGAAACTTCCGCCCATGTTGGCTGATGCATAGAGTTAAGCAGTGACAACCTGGACAACAGGACAACTCCCAAGGTAATGGCAGCTCCTGACACTTCTGAGGTGGCAGTGATCTCAATAAAAAGTCATTCAATAGAAACACAAGTGTGTGCAAGGAATGGAGATTTAAAATAAAAACACTGTGCAAAGAAAGAAAAGCACAGGATATCCATTATCAAGCTACTGCTACCAAGATGAGAACGTTCTGTTGCTAAGCAACAAAATATCTAAGTAATTATTTGTAAATGGATTACCTCCTAGAAAGCTACACTTTCCTCTGTATCAGTCAGTTTGATGGTAATCTGGAGATAACCCTCAAAAAAACTGTCTTTAGCACTGGACAAGTATTCCATAAAAAACTTCCTTCACAACCGGCACAACTCATTTACATAACCTTGTTTTTCAGCTGAGGAGCTTGTTGAGTCATGTTTGTGAGGAGTTGCCAAGTCGCTGAGCTGGTCCCAGAGAGCTACAGTCACACTTCCAAAAGCTGCTTGCTCCTGCTGAAGTGACACAGTTGTGCTGTTCATGTTTTCTGCAGTACTTTGTGCAGTGCATTCATTCAGACAGAATGAGAGCAAAGACCGAAGACAACAAAACTCCTCATCATTCAAAAACCTGAATAGACAGTAACTTTTTAATCTGTTCCACCCTGATTCCTTCTGAAGCTTCTCTGTAACTCTTAACTCTTCCAAGTTTTCATGAAAGGTATTTGCAGTTCTCCCTTGGGGAAACCACTGTGTTGCACTTGGGTCTTAGCATTCCCTCTTCCATATTTCTTTGCCAGCTGGATTAAAAAACACTGCCACAGATAAATGCTGAATAGATACCTTCAGTTCTTTGTCCTGGTACATTGCTGCTGTATGAGGAGTGCACAAAATATGACATGTGAAATTCACAGGGTGACTGAATGGTTGAGGCTGGCGGGATTTCTGGGTGTCATCTGGTCCAGCAGGGCCTCCAAGAGCTGGCAGTCCAGGATCACTCCCACACAGCTTGTCAGTATCTCCAAGGATGGAGCAGCCTGTGCCAGTACTCAGTCACCCGCACAGGGAGAAGGAGTTTCCTGATGTTCAGAGGGAACCTCCTGTGTTTCAGTGTGCGCCTGTCACCTCTGGCACTGTCGCTGGGCTCCTCTGGAAAGAGCCTGGATCCATCATCCTTGCAGCCTCTCTGCAGGAGCCTATGTACATTGCTGTGATCCCCTGAGACTTTTCTTCTTCAGGATGAGCTGCTCCGGTCCCTCTACGGCCTTGGTGACCATTCTCTGGACTCTGCATTGTGTCCATGTCTGTCTTGTCCTGAGGAGCCCAGTGCTGGGCCTGGCACTCCTGGTCTGTCCTCCCCAGCACGAAGGGGCGGGATCACCTCCCCTGCCCTGCTGGCAACACTTCTTGCGGTGCAGCACAGACACCACTGGCCTTGTCACAGCGGTGTCAACAGGCACACGTCGCTGGCTTATGTTCAGATCGGTGTCCAGCAGGAGCCCCAGGGCCTTTCCTGACAAACCGCTTCCCAGCGGGGCATTCCCCGCCCGTGCTGGTGCCTGGGGCTGTTCCCAGCTGCAGGACTCGGTTCTTCCCACGCTGAACGGCCTGAGGTTCCTGTCAGCCCCTTTCTCGAGCCTGTCGCGGTCCCCCGGACAGCGCCGCGGCCCTGTGGTGCAGCAGCCCCCTCACGGCCCGGCGCCACCGGCGAGGGCCCCGCTGCTGCTGTGCCACCATCGCCGGGGCGCCCCTGCCCCGCATCCACAGCCTCAGCCAAGGTGCGGCACAGGACGGCACCCAGGACTGACCCCACAGTTCTTCCCTTAACCTTTAGTCTGTTTTTTCTCGTGTAATTGTACAGGAAGTGGTGGTAATACCAAATAAACATTTCCGGGCATTTCTTAGATAAATCGTTCTTTGATTCAGACACCGCTAGAGCTCTGTGAGTGAAGGGCACCACAGGGCGGCCCGGCGCCCTCCGAACACATTTTGCGTCGCCCACCGCCTCCCTCTGGGCTCGCATTTCATCGGCGCCTGCAGCCCATTGTTCAGGCTGTGTCACAGCGCTTCCGCACACCCCCAAAGCTCCAGCCCGTGCCGCCGCCATTCCCGCCCCCACTCCCTCAGCCTAGCGGAAGCCGTGTACACGGCCTCAGCGCTGACGTGGCGCCTTCTCACAGGCTACGGCTTTTGACAGATAGCCCTATTGACCAATAGAATCTGGCATCGCGCCGTCGGGGGCGGGCCCTCTCCGCCGCCGTGGCGCGGGGCGGGGGAGGTCCTGCTGTCATGGCCGCCGCCGCCGGCGCCGCGTCCCCGGCGGACAAGGAGAGGTACCGTGAGCGCGGCTCGTTTGGGGTCGGGTCTTTCGGGGTTCGCTTGCTTACGTGTCATTCAGGGCCCGCGAAAAACACAACGCGCGCGGAGGAAGGGGTGGTGGTTTCAGTCCCCGTGGAGCGAGGGATGATGGGGTTGGAATTAAATTCCTGTGGGACAAGAGGTGGTGACACTTGTGTGGCTGGGAAGTCAGTAAGGAGACTGGAATTCCCAGGCAGAACCCAGAGCTATTTGGCTCATAAAGATGGCAGTACCAGAGAGTGGAGAACGCCTCTGGACAAGAGAAGGAGAAAACAGTAGAAGTTGAGGTGATTTGGGCTGGTTTTTAGGGGCAGCCAGGAACGTGATCCTTGTTACTCCCTCGTCATTCAGCTAATTGGAATCTGTCTGCACCATATGTTTTACTCATTTTAACTATTTTCTTATGCTCTCATAGATCCTTATTAAAATCAAGGCGAGCCCTCTTCCACATCCCCTTGGTCTCAGCTAGTTGGTTTTTTTAATTGTTTAATTAGTGTAATCGAGGTTCTTTCACGCTAATCCCGTGTATGTGCTCGACAGGTGTAAATCTATTGAAAAAGCTTTAAGCAGGTTTCTTAAGAGCGCAGTGTTTCAGTATCTTTTATAAATGTACCCAAATCTGGGGTGATCTCTGTGTGAATTTAAAAAAAAAAAAACAAAAAAACCCAAAAATACAATCAGAGAACTCAGCTAATAGTGTAGTGAAATCTTTTCAGAAAATGTTCCATGTGTTTTCCGTGTGTTCCATGCTTCAGGATTGTAAGAAACAGGTCAAAAGGTTCTATTTCAGCCTTGTGGTTTTGGTCTGGGTTTTTTTTTTTTTTCCTCAGAATAGTGTCATCCCCTGTACGCATAGTGCCCCAAAAATGGTGTCATGCAGGGTCCATGATAACTCAGAGTGGGATTTTGCATCATCTTATT